TATTTTTATTATTTGAAAACTTCAATATTTTTCACATGTTACTGCACACGATCGCGTTATATATAAATTATATTGGTCTGCATATTGAACATAAATTACGACACGGGCAGGACGGGTATCGACGACGATGATGTGGGACACGGTGTGGAGGCCAGTTCAAGTTTCGCCGTGTCTTTTTAAGTCGATCTTTGTAAAACACAAGTATACTAAATCCTACCGAAAAACCAAAACTAAAAGCCTTAGCTAGTTCCAAATTCCAAAACTTTGCTCCAGAGCCCAATGTTTATAATTAAACCATTTAACCGAATGGAATGAAAAGTATTGTATTTAGTCTATGGTCAGTGTGGGTCGTTGGCATGGGAAAGTATATTTTTTGCCAAAACAGGGACACATTCTTGCACCAAGGCTGTGGGAACTTCTGATAGCATTCCGCCAGTGGGGAAACGTTTTGATACCATCGACACACCCAATCGTTTAATTATAAGAATTTCTACATCACTAATAAGCATTAAAAAAATTTGCGAAGAAAAATGTTCAGGCACATTACATAAACCAAATCAATCGTATATTAAATATATCATGTAACAACTTAAAACGCGTTATATTACTGTTAATTCAACTATGGCCCGATGTTTTGGAAGTTTTAACTCATATCTAATTTCTTCTAGATATTAATCAAATGAAATACGAAATTTAACGGTTTCACCTCGTCTATAACGACATTTTATTTATTGATTGCCACTAAACCTACTGGATCAATCAGTTTAAACCGTAATTTAGTTTTATAGTATAACAAAATAAAAAATCGCCGAACATAAAACATGGTGGTTTAATAATAATTAAGGATCGTAAAGTGGTTAAAATAGCTTTTATCGAGAGGAACCGCGGGTTCGATTAGTTTAGCACTGTCATTATAGGTTATAGAATATACGGTAGCAATCTCATAGGATGTTTTTATTACTAACTCGGCGCCGAGGTTTGGTCTGTGGTTTTTTTCATCGATCCCTCATCAAGATACTTAATCAGACAAAACTATATCAATGTGTACATTTAAAGGAAACTGTTTAAATTATTTTTAACTATTCGCAGCATGGTCACTGAACGACACCAGCCCGTGTTATAACACCCTATAAGTAACTAATATATTTCGCGTTTTAAACCATCAAAAGTGTTTTATTTAGTTGTGTACAATTCGCGTTAACAACGGGCCATGACAGTATTGAAAAACGGTCTCAAAAGTTTTTCATATAAGCTGAAAAGCAAAGTGATTTATTTAGCTACTTTTTTACCTAGCTCATACAAGAATCGAACCTAGGAACCATGTTCTTTACTAGAGGTTATTTCTTAATTATATATAAGCAGCTAGCAGCAGCAGTTAGGGTTGCGGAGATAATTAAATATGATATAATCCACAAGTACCAGGACAATATAAGTCGATGGATATATTTCATCCTTCAATGGCGAAATTACTCGCTAAAGCGTCGAATATGAACAATAGAAGGCCCATATTAAAATCTCTATGCAAAATAAATATTCATTCTCATTCAAGGAATTGCGATGCGCTCCATGATAGACCGCATTTGAATGTACTCTGATACTATTGTTTCGAAGCCTTATATTGATTAAGGCTATTTACATATGTATTAACATATGCCGTAATACTACAAATACTATGCGGGGGTTTTTAATTGATTTATTTCCGTTTAAATAGCTGTCATAGCCGCTTTACATTGCTGTATGGACAACGTACTCGACCGTCGTACTTAAGAATTTCTCGACGTTTCGCAATGACAACGTCGAAAACAAATTGTCAGTTACGACGCTGAACAGCTCGAAGGCCCAAAAAGCATTAAAAATGATCGAAAACCTATTAAAATACCTGTATATGTATCAAGTTATGAAAGATAAATATTTTTCATATATAATATACCTATTATGACATAAGTTTGGCGAAAAACGACACTTTTGAAGAAAATTATGACTGTTGCACGAGTTGTCTATTTGTAAAATAAACGATATTTTAACAAATAAGACTAGTTTTGTTAAACAATACGTCTGTGGTAATGCATTTGTGAGGTTATCTGTTTGTTTATAAATTGAAGTTTGACTCGTAAACTTAATTCGAAAAGACTGCTTATGATTCAAAGAACGCAACCCATTGTGATAATGATACGGTGTTACAGCAATTTGTGAAGTATTATCAATGTCATAGATCAAGATATAATTGCATGATTTACTAGCGAACCACATCTGGTTGTATTGCAAGTTTTAGAATGAGTTTTTAGTACCCAGTTATTTCAATTTCATTGTGGAAATCTACTTTGTTTAATAATGTAACTGGTTGGGTTATACATTATAGTATACACAAAATTCACATAATATTTGAATTTGAACCCCCCCCCCCTCTCTCTTCTTAAGCACAAAATTAAGTCTTAATTTTTTTTTATTTCAAAAAAAAAAAACAATATCTTCCTTTCTTCACATGAAGCGCCTCCTTACAATTTTTTATCGATCTTCCTATTTAAGTATAGCACTGTGTAAGCGAATACGCAAATAAGAGTCATTCTATATATATATTTATACAAACAGAGATATGAAGATCATTGGCGTCCTGCCACCAAAGCACGTCTATCAGTGTTTATGCGATTAGAAATACATGTTATTTATTTTATTGCTGCCGAAGACATTGACATATTTTAGAATTCCAACGCGGGATTGTCATTTCTTGCTGATTTACGATTATTTTGGTATTGGGATAATCTAAAATTAAATTATAAGAATAGATATTGTCTGTAGTTCACGCGAGTAGTACACATTTAAATAAAACACTTTAACGGTTTAAAACGCGATGAAACGCGTGAAAGTGTTTTATTTAAATACGAAGAGATATGTCGCACTAAGACGGACAGACAAAAGGCCCAATTCCTATAGCGTCAAAAGATGCACTGCCTAACTATTTTCATCATTCGGAAATCCTGAATTTTTTATCTGTGCATGGTACGTTGTGACCGGAACATAATTTCGATGTTCCAATCACACATTTACTGTTCATATATTGATGTTGGCCGGTATGTTGAGGATAATATCATAATTTCAATGTTAAAATATTACTATCGTACTCATTAACATATAGCTAAAAGATCAATGATAGCATTCGATCTATGATAAAGAAATAAATTCTCGTTGTTATTCAAATTATTGTTAATTCCTGAACATTTTCTAATAGCGGGACCTTGAAAACACAACTATTAACCGTTTCCGTTAATTCAAGATGTCGTAACTTCCTCTTCGCATCTTTATTAAGATTGATATCGATCTATGAACTAATCCTTCGTTCTATTGAAATAAAAACGGCGGTTACTTAGTTATTACTGCTTTTAAATATTAATGTTTATATAAGTATCCCTTAAGTAAGCTAATATTGCCAATAGGTTCAAAATCGACACTTCTTCTCTTTTTCTGTTTGTTTTAGTGACCACGACTGCTGCAAAGCATTCGAAACGTCGGACCGTAGTTAGAATAATTCAAATAAGTTTAACTAATGTATATCGAGATTTAAACCGTTAAGTTGTTTTTTTTAAACATATTATAATTTAGATTTAAGTGCTTTACCCGAAAGCACAGATCTTATTTTTTACTATTTCGAGCCCAAGACATCATACCTACGCTTAATGTACGCTCTTACACATGAATTTAAAGAGATGACCACGTTTATTACTCGTAGTATTTATCTTATTGTCAAAAACATCTGACAGTCTTGTACCGTAATTAAAAGGTCGCTGACCCCTCCCCTTATTTTGACCCTTACAAAATCCCTTATGCATTAAGATTTGGACACATCATCACCCCTACTGCAAGGTAGAGCAACACTCATTCTCTAAGACTGATTAATGAATTTTTGATTCAATAATTTATTTGTCATTTTGTATCTATAATAATATTATAAAGGCGTTTGTTTGTCTGTTTGAAGGCGCTCATCTCAGGAAATACTTAATTGAATTAAAAAATCTTGATGTGTTGGTTGAACCATTTATGAAGGAAGGCTTTCGGCTATCAACGTCACGAATCGAACACCTTCAAATTGAATCAATAGTTCCTGAGATTATCGTGTTCAAACAAACAAAATCTTTTCTTTCTTAACGTGCCCTTTTTTGCATAGTTGCCCCACTTTTTAATATAGAACTAAGTATTCAATCTTAATTTCATTCGATGAAGTAAAACCAAACCACTGCAATTGGCAAGTATCAGACGTTTCGTATCGTAGTAAAAACATTTGATTTAAATACTAGAAACACTATGTTAGTATTTCTGCACAACAACTTGTTACAAGTCAATCCGATATTTGCATAACGATTATTAGAACAATAGATAATAATTGTTTCGGCCGGGCACTGTACCCCCGACCCTAAGGTTGGGTTTTACAGGTTAATTGCGGTTCTAATGTCGCCATTAATCGATTCTCTGGGTGTTTTTGTATCACGTGGAGATAATGTCATTATGATGTGCTTACTAGAACTCTGCAATATGTATTGTTCACATCTTTTGACAGTGTTTAAAATCATTTTTGAAAATATACAAGCAATGTTTATAGAACATATTTCATGTATTTACAAACGGCACTTAACTCGACTGTTGATTTCTAGTAAATTGAACATCTATTTACTTTGAAAAAAGAAAAGTCACGGGCGGAGTCAGCGTTCCTATCGTGTCCTACACCTAGACATTATCGTTGAATTTCTTCAACCCTATACAAGCACGTCTCTCGCAATTCTATCTATCTAGTGCATGAAAATCTTTAAAAAGTATAAAACAAAGTTACTTTTTCTGTCCATATGTACGCTTAAATATTTAAAACTATATAACTGTTTTTGATGCGGTTTTTTTGAATAAATAGAGTTATTCAATAGGAAGGCTTTTATACAACGTTCTTCTTGCAATCCAACCATAGACGAATAACTTCTAAAACTAATTTTGAATTTCGAAGATCATGTGTACCCTACCTGTTGCCAGAACTGCGCTAGGAGATATATCCTTTCCTTCTTGAAGAGCCAGTCCATCGAGTGCATAGCTTGCACCTCCGCCTCTGGTGCGGCGGGCAGACTGGCCGCGCCGGTGGGGTGCATCCGGACCGCGCACCGCTCACTTCCGGCGCGTACTGACCCGTCACCCACGACGTCTTCCGAATTCAAACTTCGCGCGCATTTTCAAAACATTCTCTTCCCCTCGGCTGCCAGTGTTAATCGCGTGTTCTTCACTGGCTGGAACAGAAAAAAAGTAATGCAATCGATTCTATTGTTGGCAGACAATCGGCTAGCGGTTCGTGTCGAAACTAATTTTTACGTTTGATGCTCAGACCGATACGGGGAAAGGAAAATTGACAGCTTAAAGGAAATTCGCGCGATGACGTGAGTTCGAACGGATTTTGTTTTTCTTTTGTGTTTCTTTTAATGCCTTTTCAGGCTACGCTAATAAATGGTGTTTTTTCAATCAAAATTCAAAGTTTTTTTAATTTTTGATGTAGAAATTGCTTGAATCCTACCAATTTTTTTGTTATTGTATTATTAATTGGCCTCGTCAAACTTGGTAGTTTGACCTGCAGTAAGGTATAAACGTACCATCTTTAATAGTGTTTGGTGCAAGATTTCGTTAGTCTTAAAAGAAACTGAAAGAAATATCCTAAGAACTACAAGCTACAAGTATTTCACGAATATAAAAGTAAGATGTTGCATGAGCGTAATAATTAAATCAATATTAAAAACATTTAGGTGAGAAACAATCGTCACCCCACTAATATAACTTTTAATGGTTGGTATAAGCTATAAGCGGAAGCGTTGGTGATATAGTATTGTGTATTATTGCGTTACCCAAAAAGGAACCGTTATATGTTTATATTAGTTAGCTGCAATTAGTAGGAAGTAACTTATGTAATATCCCAGCCATATAAGCTGTTCTGTTGAACGATTTTGACATCTAAGGTATGTGATCCAGACAAAATGTTTAAATTACGAATTTTAATTCTTAACTGCACAGAAGAAGATAAACATGTTCTAGAAAAGTCTAATATTATTCACAGACATATTGGACCTGGTATGATCAAACGGGCCGACCGGTTACCCCGCTGTAACTGGGGACCCAAACACAATCAGTAGAGGCAGTGGCCACAACGCTGAATTACTGGCGTGTCAATCAATAAACATGATAAGTGCGGCAGTTTCGTGCGCCGATATGCAAACAGGATTACACGCCCGCACGAACCTGGTAACTTGGATCGATTCTATTCGATTGTGTCCACTTTTTGTACCTCCTTGGTCAGTCGATGTTCGGCCACTGTTTCTCTTTACGATAAAATTATATTTCAATTGAGAGATATATCAATACTCAGAACTTGTCATGGAAATTTTACAGAGCTTAAGTTAAAGAAGAGCTAAATAAAAAGTCACAAATAATGTTAATCATGTACACATCTTATCAAGATCGAAAAAGTATGTGACCGTATCAAAAGCTCTATTAAGTTCGCTTTTTGAAATGGTACTATAGCGGCGCTTTGTTGAGTGTTATAAACAATTATATGAGGGAAGATTGTAGAATCTACTGTTTTTATTATCATAGTGAATTTATTAGGTAACGGAGTGCTAAGGGCTGTTTAAGGGTATCACACCAACTCTCTAGTAGATCCAGGTCAGATCATTTGATCCGTTACATTACACTTTTTCGATGTGTCCGATAGTGATCAATCACATTACTATCGTTGTATGACGGAATGAGTCATACAAATAGAAATAATTCCCACTTGAATTCGCTTTACACAACAGTTTATTAGTTAATATTCATTAGTAGGGGAGGCCAGATGTGGTAGATAAGGCGCCGGGTCACACAAGGCTTATTAACGAGTTCCTACTTTTGATGGACATTTTTACATAAGATAGTAATAGTGTTAAATCCTAGTTCTTTTACGTGGGGCATGGGACAGAGTGTGTATTTCATTGATTAGTATATTGACAGTCAATTAGACATCTGTGCCCATTCAGACTGGAGCGATTGATAGTGTCCCTAGAATTACTACTGTGGACCAAGAAAACATAAGGCTTCAATCTTTGTATATAATAAAATAATGAATATGTACTCGAATCAAGTTAGGCCCTTTCAACATATTTCATTTGCGTCAAAACAATAATTCCTAGTGGAGCGTTGTACCATATTTACAATTCAAATTCGACGACATTATTTTTAAGGATTTATTAGCTAAAAAATGCTTTTGTATATTTCGCTTTCTCAAAAATTAAGTCGTTGCGCATAATGACTTCGTATGCACGCGATTCTAAGCGTATTCAATTATGTACTCATGTCTAACGTAGCTGGCGATGGAACACGTTGATGCTAGAATGGACGATACATCATGTGACTAAAACAAATGTTAAGAACTGGCTAGACAACGGCGACTAGCGAGTGAAACAAAAGTTTGAAAAAGTAGGTAGCTAGTCACCAAGAATCTGAAATAGTCGCTTAGCCACTTAAAAAAACAGACGTGGTCTCACCGTGACCACGGCTGCTGCAAAGCATCCGAAACGTCGGGCCGAAGTTAAAAATCATTTTCAAATAAGTTTAACTAATATATCGCGTTTTAAACCGTTAAAGTATTTAAATGTGTACTACTCGCGTAAACTATAGACAGTATTTAGTCGCTTAACCCTTTACGTCGCAATCTGCACCGCCGATCTTCGTCAGGTGGTCAGTTTTAAGAACGATCAACATACATATATAGTTTTGTTACATTAAAACCTCTTCCTAGTCAACGATTTTGCGATGAGGGCGTTCAAAGTATAGAAATTCCTTGGAAACTATCGGAAACTATATCACGGGTTGCCATAAATAAAAAAAGTTCGTGTCTAAGCTGTCCATCGATTGGCAAACTGACGAACTTAACAGTCACGAAACCGATACTACCAACTCAGTGACACAGAAATGGATATTTCACTTAATTTACGACCTTATTGCTCGGTAATAAGGCTATGGTTATTGGTAAGTTTGTTTTGAGTTTAGTAATCTTATAGTTTATGGTAGTGATAAACTTGTTGTGGCTGTGTTTACGCACTGAGCACCTGCCCTATTTTATTGTAAAAGTTTTATCGGAAAGCGATGAATTGATGACGCTTTTACTTTTAATAGCTGGCTTTAAGGTTGCTAACGTTTTATAGCTGGTGAAGATTTATGCGACAAAGTATCGAGAGACACGGGTTACTCTTCCGGAAGGACTTATTCAAGTTCTGAAAACTACGTCACAGCAAAAATATAAAATCTACCATCAAGAAGTCAATTCAATTTAATTAAACATAATTATGATATTTTAAACTAAAAACTATCAAATTATACGTAGGACAATAAAATACGTAAAGACATTTGTTACGTCGCAATACGTTGCAAAATATAACAGTATCTATAGGATATCCTAGTTAAAGGAATTATATTAAAAACAGAGGTGACGACAGACACAATAGTAAAAGTAGATGATTAAAGGTCAGAAAAAAACTTAAAAACAGATATCAGACCAAACAAATACAAATACCGATACGCGGAATGCCAAATCTAAATTTCGTATCTATTCGTCGTCCGAAGCGTGCATTCGAAGCGCTCCTTTTTCGAATTCCTCTTTCCCTACTCTTTCTCTTGTTGCCATATTCGCGTTATCGACACTCAACTTTGTGCCAGATATTAGTCATATTTCAGAACTTTATTCTTTTTAATCTGTTGCGGTTTCTCGTTCACTCTTTGAACTGCACTCGACGTTCGGAAATTCGATTATTTTATTTCAGTTTGATTGATGGAATGTTGTTAGCGTTCTTTGTTGAGCTAAATGCATATTTCGAGGATTCCTTCTTTTTTAATGCAACCGACGCGAACGTAATTGACTAATTACGTTTTTTCAATTCGATGCGGAACTTTGAGATGGAAATTCGAGTCTATAAAATCAAAAATGAGTCTATGACAATCGAAATCGATGAATAATTTCTCACTTTTGATTTTCTGTTAAAAACAAGATATTTCATACTTCTACAAAAAATGTAATTTGTATCAGAACTGGTCGTAGAAAAATCCATTATGTCATCAAAAAGTGAATTATCATCATAAATTTGTAAACAGGTCACTGGAATCGAAAGCAGCTTCGATTATCAACGACGATTGATTCGAAGCATCGCGTGCGTTAAATTATTTTTATTTATTAACTGGCAGGTGTGTTGCCATTTAATTATTTTTGGACATCAACTGTCTATGACATCGATATATAGGGCGATCGACTGTTTGATAAGACGTTAATACAAAGTACTTCGACCATAGATAATAGTAATTTGGGTCAATTGTGGCAGGAAGTGTCGTAATACAATATCGCTTTAAGGAATAAGGGTGGAAAAAATTTTGTATCGAAAAATAATAATAGATAAAAATAGAGTCCTAATATGACTTGAAAAGATTATGTCCGTATTACCGAAGTTGGTGATTTTAGAACGATAATTAGAATTATGTATCCATCCCAATTGAGACAATCACGTTTAGCTTGATTTGAAGCTAGTATCTTTAACACTTAATGCAATCCTAGCTGTTGTAAGGAGGAGATAAAACACAATACACCTATAAATAAAAAAAGCTATCTTGACGGTTATAAACAGAAGTGGGTAATAAAACAGATGCAAATAAACGGTCAAAGGTTTCTTATATGTTCTACAATGTTACTTAACATAATAATTAATTTCTTAAATAATCCAACCCTTACCGACATTTGGGCGCCATAAGCTATCAGAAGCGACGCGTATAGATAAATTAGACAGATATGAAGCTCTATTTTAAAAAGAAATAATAAATATTTCAAACAACACTCTGGGGGATAATAATTAGTAAATTTATTACTCATTAGGGATCTTCAATAGATAATAAGTGGCACAACGATGACAAGAAAAAAAATAATGTGATATGGTTTTACATATAATACGTTAATAGTTACAAGACTGCCTATTATTCCATTTATAACAAGATATACGGGGTTCTAATTTTGTTGTATTAAACGTCTATTTCGACTAGGCACAGAAGTCTGATTAATTGGTACAAAAATGTGGCTTAGGTAACAGGGGAA